CCCCAAAACCCCAAAACCCCAAAACCCCACTCAGTTAAATAGACTTATAGATTATTATTAAAACAAAACTAAATAAGTGGAAAACTAATAATTTATTCTTTGTATTTGTTAGATCGTACGTCATTGATTACGAGTATTTTCATAATAATCTCTAAGACATAGAAGTATAGTGAGATTTTTATTTTATATACTCACTCATCTCTTCATTTTTCTTTTAAAGCTATCGAATCTACTCTTCCATCTATTTTCTATGTTCTTTTTCGTCTCTTAACTGTCTCTCTATTCCAGTAAGGTAGCTGTAATATGAGGCCCCGACACTCTTTAATGAATTAGATTTATGAGTTGTTGATATCACACTTGATAGTATCTCATCTTCTTCCCATGCGCTCTGAATCTAGCTTAAGATCCTAAATAGGTTTTAACAAATAAAATTTTACTCTTCTTTTGGTTTTATTGAGTTTAATTTCTCTGTCAAACTTCTAAAGTCTTATTAACTATAAACGCTCTAAGCATCTTTTAACTTTTCTAAATTTTCCTAAGTTAGCACACTATTCATTAAGATTTTAGGGTTTGTATCTATCTTTAGCTAACGAGAAAGTTAATCTACATCACTTTCATCCATCTTTGAGACAACCTCAATAATTTTTTGCTTTTTTAATTCTACTATTCTCGATTTTATACTAGATACATTTGAAACACTAGACCTTCCTGCAGCAGACTTGGGTTTAGCTACAGAATACTACTTTCTACTCACATGACTCGTCTAAGGTCTTTGATTACTATACTCAGCTATCGGAGCATATTGATCATCTGCATTTGTGTAAGTTTCCTCTAATTTTTAAGTTGACTAGAGTTAGCTGTTCCTCTATTGAAGTGCTTTGCGAAATACCGACCTACTTTTATGGGATTATGTCATTTCTAAATCTTCATTAAATCTTGGAATTTCATTCTTTGCTTCTTGATATCTTTATTCACTTGAATATTTATTACTGCTCTTAATATGATTACCATAGGTTCCAATAAAAGATCTTTGATTTTATTTCGGACTATGCTATTAACTAAGCATTCTTTTTGCGAAAGTTGAACTCCCTACTCTATTTTAATTAGCTTCAGGAGGGTAGAATGTTTCATCAGCCTACGATCTAATTTCTATTTCTCTTTTAACAAAATTTTCTAAATTTGTGCTCTTCGTATTTGAATTTTTTTTACTTGAAAATGCAAAATTTTGGAAATTTTTAGAAAATTTACTTGTCTTTGAAACGTCTTATCTATCATCAGGCTATCATTAAAGTAATACACTCTTATTTCTCTTTCTTAGGTCTATTGTCTATTCTTTAAGAATATATTAAGAAAAGCATATTCAATAAATTTTACCTTTAGTTCCTCTTTAAGAATTATATTGCTCTCCATTTTACTCTGAAATCATACTTCTTTAAGATGAATTAGCAGGATTAGTTTAAGCAGCTGTTTAGGGATAGACATGTCAATAATGGTTTTGAAATAGTCTTTGTTTGATCTAGTTAGGATTACTGGCTGCAGCGTCATAGAAATTGAAGGAATTATCATGAACACTCTTATGTTAAACATAAGGGCTTGCCTCTTTCTCATTTTAAGAAATATTTGAGTTTTTGGCAGACTTCTGTAAGAACTATTGAACATATTGTCTAAATATAGAGGATTATATTACCTTATTTTATTACTATGTTTAAGAATGCATTTCCTTCTCTACTCTTTGCTACCAAGCTCTATGCTCTCCTGAATAATCTGTTGCGTTTGTAATCTTTGTGCTGATTGCTTTACTTTAATTGTCTGATTTCATTTTTTGCTGTTATTTATATAACTAAATTAAGAGTTAAGAGCAATTTTTAAAAAAATAAAATAGTCTTAGGGGTTTTGGGGTTTTGGGG